ATCCCTCCTGAAATGGGATATCCGCCACACATTGGAGCGCGCATGAAGAAGCCTGCCTACGGGCTAAATGACGCACCCCGCAGATGGTGGAACATCCTTGACTCGGCACTCCGTTCTTACGGACTGGCGCCAACCAGGGCAGACCGTTGTACATATGTATACTACGGCAAGCAGCTTCCAAAGCCCGCATTGGTGAGTGAAAAGAAGTCATCCAATACTTTCGATCTCGAAGGAGCAGTTGATTACCTTATGGATCCTGTTTCCGGTAACAATGCCAAGAATCGACAAAGCATCATCACCGACCATTGAGGACGTTCGCGCCATTACACCAATGCTCAGCCAGAAGTTTTCGGAACAGACATCATTCCGATGGTATGTCACAACCGCCATATTGATCTCGAGAAGACCGTCCAGAATGTCGAACAGGTTTGCAAATACTTCAACATGGATCCATTCAAGGCAAAACAGATCTCTGACCTCATGCTCTGGCGAATCGAGAGAATGAGCAGATTGTTTTCCGGGTGTTTCGACACGATCCAAGGCAAGGCCAACACAGAGAATGCAAACGACCAGTGGACATGGGTCCTGATGGATCCGTTGCTCTATGATGCATTGACCTGCGTTACTCATGCCAGGAACTACATGGGCAATAAACCAGGACTTCTTTTGATGGCTATGTTCCCGAACCATGGAAAGGCACGTTTCGAGATTGTGTTCGTGTATCCATCCGTGGACGGGTCATACAATGAGCGCAAGGCAAGGCTAGACATTGTTCCAAGAAATCGATGGATCGACAACCTCAACTCCAGATCCGCATACGATGCACTCCGGCCTAACGGCAAGGAATTCCTCAATGATCCAGAAATGGAGTTCTACGTGAGATGCAACAGCGGTCATACACGACAAGTCGATCCCCAATCTTTTGGAAGACCCCTGTACTCCGAGCAGAAGAGTGAGCCTCGCCAAGAAGAACCGGACTATGATCTTCCAACGGAATCCATTCCTCCAAGTCCGCATCCGTCAAGATCCGACGCGCCCCATGAAAACGAAGGCACAGCTCAGGCAAAATCCAGAATGCGAAGGCCGGCACCTCAATCCATTGAAGAAGAGAGAAAGATCAAGCCGTTCGCGAAGAAGCCCATCGCGTTCATGTTCCATGCTACATATGGAGAAAATCTGATCAACATCATGGAGCACGGGCTGAAATCTGGGACATCCCAGTCAAACCCTTCGGGGAGAGTGCACATCCACATGGCATGCGTCGACGACGTTATCCTTGATGACGAGGCGTCAGAAGCAGCATTGACACATGTGCCAACAGGAAGAGATGCATTGTTGATCCTGCTCTCCGAAGAGCGAACAGCATGAGGCGAGGAACATTGTTACAGCATTTGATCGAGGGAAATATCATAATGAGTAACAGTTCGATCATGCAGAAAAATCTCGATCGTGAAGACATTAAGAGATGTACACCAGCAAGATCCAAGAGTTCGCCGATGCCTTCTTCAAACATGTGAAAAATGACCACCAAAACAAGGAACAATCCGAAAAAATATACATCCACAGAGACCAAGAAGCGACGGCGCTCCACCGATCAGGACGAGGTTGAAGAGGAGAACATGGAACTCTCCGGGGAGAGATCCGTCAAGCCAAAGGTCACCAGGGAGTATCCCAATCCTGAGAACCTAGACGAGTTCATCCAGGAACTCAAGGAAATCTACCTCAAAATAGAAATGAGCAAGAAGGACGCCGAGGAAGAGCTCGTGGAGACCAAAAGGAACTTCATCCGCTTTATGGAGAAGTTCAACAAGGATCCAAAGGTAGCTCATCCTAAATTGACAGAATGCGAGAGAGCCTCATTGGCACACGTTGATCCCGATGTCAACCTCGAAGAAGAAGAGTTCTATTTCCGCCATCGAGGAGAATGTCCCACCATGGACGAGTACCGGAAGGCACAGCCAGTATCAGGATATCCGATTAAGCTTCCACTTGGATTGAAGAAGCTTAGGTCATGACAACCCAGAAGTCATTCGAGCATTTGCTGATATCCTGGGATCGCTGATGCAGCCGACCGACCGTTCCCCTGTGGACCATCTCAAGACGCATGAGTTCATCTCATCCCTGACGACCAACATGCTTACTATGAACCATGGAAACCTCACGAGGAATCCAAAGCTGGACACCAGGGGGGTGTACAACATGGCGATGAAGGATCGACCAATCGTGAAGATGATGATGCAGAACAGCGCACACATCTTATGCCTCAATGAAGCAGACGCATTCCTCAGTCCTTAGAGAACTCATCAAGACGTTCATCCGATTCGGGTACAAGGGCATCGTTATCAAGCAATGGTCATCCAGACCAGTTGCATGCTTTGTCCGCGGCGGACCTTCCGCAAGAGTGGAACTATTGGCAAGACACATTTCCACAAAGAGTCAGAATTGGGGAACCACATTCGGGATGTTCAGATGTTTCTTCGGAGCCGAGGAAAATTGCACTGATCCTGAATACGACATTCCGACCTCGGACTGCTTGGCAACTACGGGACCATCCATGTTCACCGACTCCAAGAAGTACATCGGACCGAGATTGCCACCACGCACCACTGTCCAAGGACACGGACGTAACAAAGAGATTGTCGTTCTCCACATCGAGCAGAGTGATGAGTATCGTGGTACGCTCCCAAAATCATCCAACAAATCACTCCTCGAGTTTGACAGCCGCCACGTAACGAGGGCAGACCTCCCGTTTGCTACCATTGGAGTTTTCCACATTCACCATCAATCAGCCATGGAGCAGCACGGGAAGATCTTCAGAACGAAACCATGCCACTCGTGACATTGTACCAATGCGATGCGATCACCGGAGACGCCAACAAATCCGGGAATACCTACAGCAGACTCCAGCACGGTCTCATGAATATCCTCATGAAGGCATATCAGAGATTGTGGAATGAAACGGAGAATCTGCCACTCGTGGACAGAATGGAGTATGCAATGGAGACTTCATGCACCCTAAAATCCATTGTCCGTCATCACCTATACATGAAGACTGGATCAGGGTATGACCGAACATTCCCAGATGTGCTGATGACTTTCGTGTTTGGATGGGGCAAAACGAATGCAGCAGGTTTTCCGGAAGGAAGAGATGAACGCCATGAGGGATGAACAACTGGAAGCCATGCGGAACGATCCGACGTCTGCCATTTTCGACTATCAGGTCTCATCCACGGAACGCTTCAAGCACGTGAACAACGATTTGTTCAAGATTCCGACTCGCACAGTCCGCTCATGGTCTACATCCGCAGTAGATCTGCCGCCAGGCAACGCAACTTTGAGAGATCCAAGGAGCACCTCGAAGAGTACAACAAGCAGTACTGGGGCAATCAAAAGCAATGGAAAGACTATGCCGACTCGACCTGGAATGATTATGGAGACTATGGCAGTCAATCCGACAGCAGCCGCAGGTGGTACCGCTGATCACCTGATGAAGCAGCCACCTTTGGCACTTGTTCGACCGACTGAGAAGACTCCCACGATCGACACTACGAACTTCAACCAGATTGATCCTCACCGCCAACAAGACTATTCAGTGAGAGATCAATAGCTTCACATCCGTCCCGCATGTACATAGCGTTGTGCATTACCTTTTCGATACATCTAGGTATCTTACAGAATCAGTACAGACAATTGGATGAATCATTGTAACAATACATGGCTACGGCACTTTCAAGTATGGCTACGGCACGTAAGGCCAAGAAGCCAATCATACACTTTGGTGTGAAAGGTCAAAAGAAATGTGTGTCTGTTTTGTGTTGCTTTTTGTTGCACATTGACCTATTCACACACTCCGCTGACATGATGGCTCAAGGCCCTTCAAGTCATTTGTACAGTCATTTGCCTCATGGTACAGTGATAAAAAGGCTTGCAGACCGCTTCACAGGATTCACAGTCAACACAAGCCACCAGGGACAATCCGTCCAATTCTCCATATTGGCATATTGGACTCTCTCCGGATCCAGGGACCAAATCAATGACCTCTACTACCACAGGGTACCAGTGGGCCTCACCCCCTCCCCCCCCCCAACCCCCCCCGCCCCCTGGTGGGGTGGGGTGGTCAGGGTTGGTTTGTGGTGGGTTTGGGGTTTGGGTTGATTTAGGCTTAGGGTTGGGGTTAAAGGAGGGGTTGCAGGGTGGTTTGGTTTAGGGTGGGATGTTGCGAGAGGTGCTGGGGTGTTGGTTCACGGGGTCAAAGGGGGAGTCTGGGACCGAAGCTGCAGGCTCACACGCTACTGGACAGCATCCCCAGCATTGCCAGCATCATCCCCAAGATGCAGATGATACGGGGGAGTGGGGGGACCATACCATTGGGGGGGGGGGGGGTACGCGGCCCAGCGACTGGTACATATATATATATATATATATATATATGCGTGCATGAGCAGCGCAAACATTTGTCACACTGCTGCATAGTCGGGTGTTCTGACCTCGATATCCAACCCTGAACCCATTTGGACTCATTGACCTCACTTTCCAACACCATGTGCTCGTGATCTCAACCACCTAAACATATGTTGTGACTCAGTTATGACCCTATCTCTTTTGCGGGGTGTTTCAACCTCAAATTGCACCTGATTCAGTATGTAAACGCAATTGTGCTTCCGCCCGGCCTTGATGTAAATAAAGGCTGTCGCTCATATACCATATCATGTAAAATGGGCTCCTCTAAGAGTTTTGCTGGGTGTTAGGGCACTTGCATGCACTTGCGCAGCATATACGCAACACCACGGGCCAGCACGTCATCAATAAGCCAAAGTTACCCCAACAACGCTGCCACATCAAGTCGAAACAAAGGCTCCTCATTCCACACTCCTTGGCTGTTTCTCCAAACAGATCCCCTGTTTGTTTTAGGGGAAACCGAAACGAAGCCAACTGCCTGAAGGGGTCCCTAATCATCAACATCGGGACCCGTCAGTTCCTGCCGAATTTTGCAGAGTCACGTAAAGGGCTCCTCCACAGTCTCGGGCCTGACAGCCCTGGCGCGATCTGTTGGTCGCCCGAAAGGCATGGCTTTGGCAGCAAGCCTCTTAGCTGCATGTGAAATAGAGGGGGTTACAAACGCACACCAACACACAAAAACAGCATCATACAAATGTTGTGGCATCCTTTTTGGTCTATCAGCAACTATGGGCCCGCAATGCACGCCAACTCTGGACTGCTCCTTGCTCGCATGTGCTCAATACTACCATGGTCGAACAGCATGTGGGCTCACAATGACGCCCCGGATGGCCAATATCGAAGCGTCCGTCGTCATCATGCACAAAATCGAAGAGTCCCTCTTGCAGGTAAACCCGTCTTGGCTTCTTGCCAACATCATGTTGCCCCGATTCATCAACCTGGTGGATGAAATAGGGGATGTTTCCTCCAAAAGTACAGGTTTGCCTCTGGAAGGGGACACCCCCTATCAATCAACCAGGGCTTCTTGATCATGTGTCAAAATCTGCAAAGCCTCGCAACACCAGGCAATGTGCAGTCCACCTCAAGGAACCCTCTCTGTGGGAAAGCCTTGCAAAGCCAGACGCCCTGTAGTTTGGGGAAAGATTCGGTGCCCAAAGCCGAGAAGCATCACGGTCAACACTTAGCTCGAAGCTGAGGAAAACAGCTTCGCTTGTCCTCCACCAAACCATGCCCCCACTGCAGTGACATGCGTGTGTGCTTTTTAAGGATACCCTTGCCCCCAAGGGTAAATAAGAATTACGTTTGTTTCGGCCCGAATCCCTGTTTGACACGTGTCTTAAAATATGTGTTCCCCGAAATTTTATGGTTACGCTTGCTTTCCTTCAAAAAGGGTGCCAACAAGACGGATCACGGACCCACATCGTAGGCCTCAAAGCGCATGGAGCCCCCGTGCATCTGAAGATCCTGGCCCACGAAGAGGCAGCCCCCGTCCTAGGGTCCATTGGTCAGGTCGTTCTCAAAGGGATTCTTTTGCGGTTTCAAAGGAAGTCTTTTGAACCCAACCCTTGCAGGGCCCAAGTTCCAAGAACCCCGCAAGAAACGGGGTGGGATTGATCCCGAGCTCCCATCAACATGAATGCTTGCTTAGCAAGCATCTGTGGCAGTGCTGTTGCGGAACGTGATGTTCCCGTTGTGGATGTTTAGCGAGTGCTCCACGTACAAAGCACCTGCTGCCACCAGCTCGCGCGCTACCCCAAAGTCTGCACAGAGCTCACTTCAGCCTCGGAGATGTTGTTCTACCCGTTGATCCAGATCGATGTTGTTCTACCCGTTGATCCAGATCTGTGTTGATCAACCTGTTGGAGTGGGGTTGCTCGACCTGTTGATCTACCCTTCGAGCGCATCGTAACAAACCCACAATCTCGATCATGGGCGAGGTCGCCTTGCGTGAAGAGACCTCGTCCAGGTTTGTTGATCCACAAGTTCAGAACGATGGAGGCTTTTGACAGGACATAATAGCGTGTCCTTAAATGTTCTTCGACGTTCAAGTTGTGGATTGGTTAATATGCTGTGGGAAGGGCACAAGGCGTTTCCTCTGATCTGGCAGACACAGCGCAAACCAAGCGAAGAACCTTTCTCATGCAAGAGGTCGCTTTGACCCACATATTCATTCGGCCATGAATGTTCAGGCCCCATGGCCATGCAAGTCCTTTTCAAACTAATTAAGGCACACTGAGGTCCCCTTCAACCACAACCAAGCTGAAGAAAGCTTTGGGGTTGCTTCATTTGGAAGGGATCCCCGCAGCACACTTTAGCAAACCACAGGTGTTCTCAGCAGCAATCTCTGGAATCCTTTTGGAACCCGAAGCGTGTCGGAGCCGCTAAGATCCCACAACTTTCTGGGGGAAAACCGCCAAGCCAAAGGACTGGGTGAGGGGCTGGAAACGGATGGGTCGCCTCCATCGTCCACCTTGCTGCCACCGCAGTCTGTGAACTCGATGTCTGGGTCCACAAAGTCCAGAGACCCTTCGACGTCCACACACCGCTCTGCGCCTGCTACTGTGAGACCTTCTTTATTGGCTGAACAGTGCCACCTGTCTGAGGAACCCTCTTTAGTGGAAAAAGGGGGGTCTGGGTGGGACTTGGGCTTGCCAATAATTAAAACAGTATTGCCAATACAAGTACATATTTTAGAATTGACAATAGTTGCTCTCAGATTCCTAGTACTTAACTTCGCATGGCCAATCTTAAAAATAATATTTCCTAGACTTGATCTCAGATTCCCAGTACAGAATCTAGTATTGCCAAATAGGGCCAAGACTTAGACTCTCAGATTCGCAGCACTCAACTTAGTATTTCCAATTATAAATTTAGTATTGTCAACTCAGATTCCCAGTGTTGAACTTATTAGTAATTGTTGCCAGCTCTATAAGTTGTTTTGTCGAGACTTGATCTCAGATTCCCAGTACGCAACTTAGTATTGCCAAACTTAAATTGTGTATTGCCAAGACTTACTGTCGGATTCCTCGTACTTAAGTTAGCATTACCAACTCTAAACTTAGTATTTCCGAGACTTGATCTTGGATTCCCAGTACTTAAGCTGGTATTGCCAATTCTAAATTTAACATTGCCAGCCTTTTCCCGTCCAAAAAGACCTGAACGTTAGAGACGCCCAAAACGGTCATGTTTGTATTGATTGTTTGGACCACTTTCAAAATTGTTTCCTAGGTCTAGGGCATATAGCCTTGGAGCTGGGAAGAGCTTGGTTAAATGAGCCACCCTTTAAAGGTAAAAGGCTTTGATATGGTGTGTTTTGCTTTTTGCCCGGATTCCTCTTGTGAAAAACCGTTTCCAGAACTCAACACCCTTAAAAGATACCGCTCCAGGATCTTGAACTAGGGAAACACTTCCTATAATAGACGCCCCATTTCTAAAAGCAGGTCAAAATTATACAGCGTGGACCCTCAAACTACCAAAAAGCAAACAGTCCTAAGTATCATTGGACACTCCGCTAAAGGGGTCAGAACTCCACTGGAAGGTGTTGGACCCGTGATGCTTAGAGGGGACATATGGACCTGATTTCCCCAATTGTAGGGGCCTGAGGCAAGCATGCTAGGTTGGGCCAAGTCTAGCTTTCAGGCCCTTGGCCGTCACCAGCTGCCTGATGCCTACACCTGGTAAGGAAATCGCTGCTTTCCAACCATCTATATGCAAGAAACAACAACCTACAAATGAAAAGACACAAGAATGGTCCCAAAACACCCAATATACAGCTTCTGCCGAATAAATAAGACAAAGGGCATCGGGAGCAACCTACAAGTGGCGAATTACATCCGCTTTTACCCAGGCAGCTGACAGCGTTGAGCCCAAAGACTGTGGGGTGTGTGCTATTGAATACGAGCAGTCAAAAGAACCGATATCTGCTCTATGCCTCTGCTCAAACAGTTCGACACCTTCGTAATTGCATGTTGTGACTACGCAAAGTTGGCGCAGTGCTAGATTCCCATCAAAGCCGCCTCCACAAGGGTGCTGCAATTGCTTCGATTGGGAGTGTCTGACATGATAATTTGAAAAGTTGCCACAGTATAGCAATACTGTAGCATTGCAGTCCAACACACCAATTATGTAAATGGCGATTCTACCATTGTTCGACATGCCCCTAAAAAGTTGACAACATTCAACGGTGCACTGTTCAATCAACTGGATCTTGCTATTGGTGAAGCGCGATCCAAAAACATCAGCATCGCTCCTCCTATAGGCATCTTTTGCCAAACTACCTCCGTGAACCCCGTGTCATCCACACACAAAGATACCAGCTCGACACAAACACATGGGCGGGAGTTTGTTTGGCTTGGAGCAAACCAACATCTTATTCACAACATAGAAATTTGAGAATGCCAGGCACCACATCTCTGAGGTCTGGTTTGGGGTTGGGGCTTTTGGGTTTTGGCCGTTGACCGGAGAATCTCTCGGCGACGTGTGGCTGTAGGGTTGGGCCACCTGTGCATCCCCAACAGTAACCCCCTTTGCATGCTGCCGGACCTAGCCCGCTCCGAACCACTCCCAAACCCTCTGGGCAAAAACCCTTTTGCTTTCTGCCGCTGACCCCCGTTTGCCGATTCGAAGCTGCGCCTCCGCCGCGGAAGGCGATGGACCCGTGGAGAGTTGCATTCCTGAGAAAGTGCACGGAGCCGTCGAGGACCACTTCGGTGCCCCGCGCGCCGATGAGTTCGCAGTCTTCCGGGAACTCCACGTAGGACGTCCTGAAGCGATGCATAGGTGCATTTCATGCGCCTCCTGGGCCAATTGGAAAGAAGTGTCTTTCACGACACGATTGAGAAATCCACATTGTGAAGACGCGCCACATGTGGCCCGAATTCCTGGTTGCTCGCACGAAATCATTTGCGTAGAGGCACGTCATCAGTTCGTTCATTGGCCGACCATGAAAACTCAGACCATATTTAAGGCATTTCCAGCAACACCGCTTCTCTCATCAGCTAGTCAGGTTTTGACAAAGTTGTCAAGCAAACATTGCCGCAGACTCGATACGGCCTGCACTGCCAAAGCATGAGTCCCATCTGGAACAAGAGTAAACGATACTCCGAAGGCCAGTGGCCGCAGGAGAAAGGGGCATTTGTTTTTCTGGTAGGTTGGGAAATGTCCAACCTCTCCACAGTGTCCAATCCTACAATGACAAGGCTCCGGTACAGGCCATCCAAATGAATGGTTCCCCCCGAGCAGCTGGGAAATTCTCTCAGCACCTCGTGGACTCGTTCTGCGGGCACACACAACAGCAGGCTGAAAATCAGCGCCGTCGGCAGCCGAAGACCCGGATCTGAGCCACGATCCATGTGGATCCATTTACGACATTTACCCCTGTGGGTAAGGGGATCCACCACTCAAAAGCTAGCGGTCGATTTGCTGGTTACCCACTAGAGTGAGTGATAGATGGATCCACTAGGCATGTACGTATGTTTCGGTTGCCCTGGACCAAACAGAACTAACATATTGAAAAGAACCTCTCAAATAGTATGCCAGGAACTGCCAAGCAACTCGGCTGTCGCCAGGTCACCTGCATTTCACGAACCACAGCATCTGGCGTAGGCCAAAGGCATCATTCATGCCTTGAGCCTTCGCTTTTGCCCTGCAGATATGTAGCAATGTGTCAAAACTACCCGACTCCAAGACAAGTACAACATGCAGGATCTAGGTACGAGCTTTGCCAGTTGGCTTTCCTATTCGTGATTTCTTGAAGTGCGACAAGGGGTTCCAGGCTTGGCAGCTACACATAATGTTGAACGTGCTTGACGCCGCGTCTGTTCACTTCACAAGTTCCAATCCGTGAGAGGGAAGGAAGGGAAAGAATGTTTAAAACAGTCAAAAGGCTCAACTTACTCGTTCTCAGCAGGGAATGAGACAACATCTCTTGTGGTTTGCTTTCGGGGAATGCGGGGAACCTGCAGGTTCATTCCCAAAATCCTTGTCGGGCAAGTGGGACTGTGGTTTCCTCCACCAGAAATTGCCCTCTTGGCGTCCAGCATGGGTTGAGCTTAGGCTGGGCTTAAGTTCAGTTCAGCCGAGGTTGGCCTTCGAATGCAATTGATGTTGGGTGTGTTTAAATTTGCCTATGGTTTCGAGTCGTGAATCATTTGAACTTGAGGCTGGCTGAATCCGAGGCAAGCGAAAGCACGGTGCTGTGATAAAGACATAGGAAAACAATCCTCAACAGTGGACCTTGCTCAAAAGACTCCCGAAGGCATTTGCCTGCAGCTTTCTTCACACGTCCTTGACAACAGCTCAGCCGCTATAGCTACCAAAGGTTAACGATTGCCTCCGAGCCTCCGCTTTGCTTACAAGCCGTTCTGCTCCATGGCGCCTTTTGCTGACATGCGTCCACACACTGCGCAAGGCAACATACAAGCTAGCAGCTCAGCAGCTAGCCTGTGTAAATGCCCGCCTGAAGCAGCTCATGCTCAATCAGGTCTGCTTTTTGCAGTGGCTGGCTGTCCAGTTGAGATTTGGCATCAACAGTGTCAATATTGAGTTGGAAAATCGGAGCCACTTGGAAGGTCGTCTCGCTTGTGATATTTATAAAGCTCTACCTTCACAATTCATGAGCCTGAAAGATCACGGCCTTCATGACTTGATCGTCAAAGCTAGTTCGCCCGTTTCGTCAAATAAAACCAACTGAGGCGAACAAAAAAGCGGTGTTCACGCTCCGGCGGTCTTCTTGGAAGTTGTGTGCTCTAGTTGGGGCCTCAAATTTGGAACCTCACAAGCGGGCCACTGTGCAAGCATGCACGCCTAAGAGCTCATAAGCATGCAGCATGGGCAAGCCAGCAAGCAAGAAAGCAGGACGGCAGTAAAACAGGCAGGGAGGGAAGCAGGGAAGGAAAAAGCAAAGGACAACAGGAAACAGGCAGGAGCAAAAGAAGCACACCAGCTGGCAGCATAGCAGCAAGTAGGGCTGAAAAATCACTATGGCGAAAGGGCCTGGTCATGCAACCACCTCAGACTTGCGCTTCCGCTTGCGAAACACTTGTGCGGAATTTGCTGGAATCCTACGAGTCAAAACGGCAAACAACGTGTATATCTTCTGGAGCAACCAACAGCAACTGATGCTGGCTTTGATGCTTCGAGCCACCGGGATGCAAAGCCGACTGGAGCGAACACTGCAGTTGTGACTCGCGCGGCCGCATGCTTCTTCAAACTTGACATGTCGAATTCCAGCGGCCCTCTTACCCTGAGACTAAGCAAAACCCTGGGATCCTCGAATACATACTAAGTATGTAAGTATGCTCCGGTTTTTTTGCTCAACTGGCTACCAGCAAAGGTCCGTCAGGTCTGTGTCTGTCCGGCACGTTCCCGCACAAGCTCCACGAGGATCCGGGACAGCTGGACATATGACGGCACGATGGTGAGGGAGATCTTGGCTGGAGTTAGTCAGGGTTCTCTCAATATCAGGGATCCATTGCTAGTACTTGTATGGCTGTAGAGGGAAACGAAAGCAAACCAACCAGTTGCAGAGGCTTCCTGAAAGAGAAACGCTCGTATGTGCGCCCTTCAAGCATCAGTGGAGCGTGGAAACAGCAAACAGTCAGCACAAGTAGGGACAGCTCCTTTAGTAGAAACCTGGAGTTTTGTTGAAAACCTACCAGCAAAGTATGGGTAACCCGGCCCCAAAACAAGTGCTCTCAGGCGCTTGGCCAAGAGGCGACCACCAGCATCAAGCCCTTCCCCAGGGAAACATTCTCTGCGGCCCGGTGGTACAAAGCGATGATCACCATGAACCTCAGCTGTCGAACAAAACCCATGGCTCCAAGAGTTTCTGCTCCATGGTTATGGAACATCCGCATTTTTTCTGATATCAAAGTGGGCCATCCCCAAGACTACCTTATTCATTTGTCACAGTCAACATCAGAGTCGGAAACTGGACCGTGAGATTCGGAAACTCAAGCGTCGGCTTATGACCCTGAAACGCCTACCGTTCGGCAGGCGTGCGCGCAGTGCTGAGCAGGTGCTCGTGAGCGGGCGCGCTTACCATTTGCCAGGCATGTGTGCAGTTCTGAGCGGATGACCGGATGATCTTGAGCGTGTGTGCTTACCACGGGTGTTCTGACCATTTGCCAGGCATGCGTGCAGCGCTGACTGCTTGCCATTTGCCGCGCATGCGTGCAGTGCTGAGCCGGTGCACTTGAGCAGGTGCGCTTATCATGTGGCAGGCGTGCGATCAGTGCAGAGCGGGTGCGTCTGAGCGCGCCAACCGGTAGATCAGCAGAAACAGTTTCGAAAGGAGTAGCCGAATCGGACGGAATAGTGTCTGAATCGGGCGAACATAGAAATAGAATTGAAATCGGTCGAAATGTTCTGTGTATTTGGTGAGATAGATTCTGAATCGCGCCCGGCAGTAGTTTTTGAATCGGGTGACATAGTTTATGTTATTGGGAAAATTGTGCCTGAATGACTAGTTTCCGAATCGGGTAGTAGATGGTAGTAGATGGACTTCCACTTTATCATCTATTTCTCACATTATCTTGGTAGTAGATGGTTTTTCAAAGGAACTAGCACCTGTCTTGATTTAAGTGGTTCGTTGATGTCTCCATGTCTTGAGATTTCAACTGGTCACCCGCAGGGGGATGCGCACGCAACCGAGGACAACCACGACTCACCTGCCCGAAGCTGGTCAATGTTCAGTTCAGCCTGATACCTAGGAAAATTGTTTATCTTCCTACCATCATCATTTAAGTAGAAGGCACAGATATAAAGCAATACCAAGCGGTGACCCAGAAAAACCTGGAAATAAAAGGATGACGTTTGGGATCGTGACTGTTGACCAAAAAGCGAAACCCCAGGAGAAAAGGACGGTTCTGGAAAAACTAGATCTAGGCAATCTAGGCATGTCAGAAAGACTGGGGGGGGTTCTTTCCCTTCCGACCCAGAAGCTGTTTCTCTCAAAAGCCACGTGGTTGCGAGCGTGCCTTCCCATGGGGCGCATAGGCTCTGAAGCTGGGCTTGGCATTTCAAATGGCTATAGGTTGCTATATGTTGCTATATGTTGCTATCTATGTCTCGGTGCTTGGATTCTTCAGGGTTGATGAGCCCTGGCACCTCCAGCTGAATGAATTTGCAATGGCCGCTGCATCCAACATGGCCATGAACACGGTTGAACATGCCCCTATCAAAATTGGTTTGTGACCCCAAAGGTATGGACAAACTGGAGCGCAAACTGCTAAACATGCTTCAATGTTAGGTCTCAAGATTTCAAAGAAGACTCCAGGTCAAAAGAGACTTGGGCTCAAGACCAAACATATTCACAAAACAGTACATAGTCCAAATCATGCTTCAAGGGTTCGAACACACAAGTCGTGGGACCTCTTTTGCATATCCCGTCGTCCCGTGAATTATGTGCCTGTTGTCCCAGTTGGGACTGAGGCACAGAGCCCTTCTCAATGCTTTAGGCCAGAGAGCCTGGTGCAAGTTGTGGGGCCCTTTGGTAAGTTTCTCCATGGCATGGTGTCCCTACAGCCTATGTGAGCCGCAGACAATATCATTTTTTTTCCTCAAGAGAACATGGGCAATGTTGGCATCTCGGCACCAGTGTTTTCTGCCCCTTTCATGTCCTCCCCAAAACTAAATTCAGCCCCCCCCCCCTTAAGCGACCTGTCAAATGGGTGGCTATGCGACCTGACAACTTTGCGGTCATTTGGCTGCTATTGAGGGGCCTGGGACTAGCAATAACTTCGTTGGCTCAGATCAACGGACTTGGTAATCAAAGCTGGCCTCTAGAAGCGCCGTGGCAGCACCAAAAAAGTTCCCAAATAGGATTTCACGTGCACGGAAGCAAATGGCACAGCGAAAGCGGCCTTCAGAACAAGCTTTTTGAAAGGACTCATACCTCCCATCACGTCTCAAAATGAAGTGCGGTCGGGTCCCTTCAGGGAAACCAAAGGGAACTAGGGCTGAACATGGCCAAATCCCAACTGCCCAACTGTTGCCCACCTCGAGAAAAACGCCCGCCTTGGCACGAGACTACCTGGTTCATTAGGAAGCCAGCAGACTCTGCAGCCAAGGAGCATGCTTGTCATCGAGAGGAACCGCTCTGACCGATTCCACATCTCGTGTTTGTAGGGTTGAACTTCTATCTCCAAGACCAGTGTAACCAGCATCACCAAGCCTCACTTGGCCAGCTACGAAAAACACAAACATCACCGACAAACAAACACAACAGAAACAATGCAAAGGCAACCAAACCAAACAAAACAATACAAAGCATAACGCAAAAACAAGCAAGCAAGCAAGCAAGCAAACAAGCAACCAAACAAAACAAAGCAACGCAAAGCAAAACAATACAAACAAAACTGACAAACTGACTAAACAAACACAACGCACGCAAACCAACCCACGAACCAAAGAACCAAAGAACCAAACACAAACAAACACACAAACATCCACGCACAGACGTCCAAACCAAAAAACAAACAACAAACAAAGCCCACAGCCGAAGCAAACAAGCACACACAAACAAGACAACCAAACACTTGTTGCATCACAGCCAAAGAAAAACAGAACACAACACACCAGCACAATGAACCACACAAACAAAACAAACAAGCACACACACAAACAAGACAATCAAACACACTTTGCATCACAGCCAAAGAAAAACAGAACACAACACACCAGAACAATGAACCACACAAACAACACAAACAAGCACACACAAACAAGACAATCAAACACACTTTGCATCACAGCCAAAGAAAAAACACAAAAGCACTGAGAAAATCCAAGTTGATCAGAAGTGATGCAAACAACACTCCTACTGTATGACCACACTCAACCCTGAAGTACCCTAGCAGCTCCCTATTTTCCTCTGTGCACTTGAGCCTTGAGCCGAAGTGTCATGGTGAAGTATTATGGGGTGTGCCATGCATGCAATACTTTGACACGGCCCCTTGAAGTCCACTGAAGTTGATGAAGTGGATCTTCACACTAATTAGCCAAAAAGTGGATTGAGAGGGAGCATGAAGTGAGTTAAAAACCTTCCGCATCTACCTCTAAAGCAAGTGTGACACGAAGTCACCTGTACCTGGACAGGAAGTCCACTGATCACAACAGGAAGTGAAATGCCTTGATACAGTGTTTGAAGTTGCAGTGAAGTCTTGAAACCAGTTGAAGTGTGTACCCAATCCAGTGAAGTGCATGACCACTCACAGTGAAGTGAAGATAGCCAGAGTTGTACTGAATGTTGTAACTGTGATTCCAGCGAAGTTGCAAATTGATCACGCGGTAACCGAATGAAGTTGTAAGTCCAAAAGTTTCCCCGTTGAAGTTCTTCTCACTCCTGTCAGTGAAGTCTCACTCTCTTCAGAGCCTTGCTCGAAGTCTCATAGCCATGCCTGAATCCATCGGGATGTCACCGTACTGGATGAATCCCTGGGCTATGTCAGACTGAAGTACCCGGTGCATGTACCTGCCGAAGCCGCCTTGAACCTGTCGGTGAGGAAGCTCACTGAAGATGAAGTGAGCTGCCTCAGAAGCTGTGAATCCCAAGGTGAAGATCTCAGAAGTTGATGCCTCGGCTGGTGTGAAGTTCCAATGAGTGAAATGGAGGAAGAAGTCCAGATAGTTCCGATTCCAGAAATGTGTCTGTGAAGTCTGGAGGGAGCTCCAGACTCTGTCAGCTTCCAGCTTGACTCCGATCAGGAAGATCTCATCGTTTTCGCTTTGAAGTCTCACTCCCATCTCCTTGTTCATGTGAAATCCCCAGAGTGCGAAGAGAAGCGCCGACCGAGCGCTAAAACTGAAGTTTCCCATTCGGCTGCCCCACTCGAACTGCTCGGCAGTGATCCGAGGGGGAAGCATCGGCACAAACCTTCCCGCGTCTGCAGAAGTGCTCACAGCCAATGGGAAGTGGCTCCTTGGAAGTACCACCCAGTGAACCGGTCCGTACAGCCAAGGATCTGCATGAAGTCTCTGCGGAGGGCTTGCATGCATCACGGGCCGAAGTGTCGAGTACACTCGCCTTTCTCCGTTGGTGTACAAGAAGTTCCCTGGAGGAAGTCTCACCCGACCAACATCATGAAGAGCCGGAAGTAGGCACTCTTGCACACTCTGCAGAGTGGCACATCTTCCGTCCTTCAGTGGCAGTGAAGTCTGCTGGTTCCGCCACCAGTAACTCTGAAGGAAGTCTTCCGGAGCACGATGCGACCTGAAGATGAAGTCATCAACACTGCAGTTGACACGAGGGTGCTCCTGCGCCATGAAGTCAAAACCAAGACTCAAACTCGAAGTGAGCAAAGTGGAAGTCAGTCCGCACTGCAGTCCATGGCAGGCGGAAAGGTGGGTTTGCAAAAGGAAGCGCAAAATGGCCACCGAAGTTCAAACTCTATTTGAAGTTCCATGGTCCTAACGTTCTACTGGGTACATGTTGAAAACTCACCAAAAGTTATTTGGGGAGCGTGGTCAAAAAGTCCTACTTCTTAGAAGTGGTTTCCGTGCAAATGCAAAGTGACTAGGTGAAAACATCGAATTCTGATGAAGTTCAAACTCATGCAAGTCTCTAGAGCATGCGACCAAATGGAAGTGTCACTCCCAAGGTCGCAAGGTGTCTCAGAAGTGTATCCCTGCTGACATACTTAGTCATGACATCAGAGGGATTGGAAGTGCCAGCCACCTTCTTCAACACAACAGTTCCAGAAGCAACAAGTTCCTGAACATACAGAAACGAAGTTCCACATGCTTGGTCTTGCGTGAATCTCCAAAGCGGGACGCCATGGATTTGCCTGCTGTGCTGTCAGTGTGAACTCGGAAGTTCACCTTCTGGGAGAAGTTTCCTTCAAGAAGAAGGGACCGTACGAAAAGTCCTTCGGAAACTCCAAGTCCGATCGCGTACAGTTCAGCTTCGCCTGATGAAAGTGCTACGGTTTGCTGTGTTCTGCTGATCGAAGTGACGTACGATCCTAGAAAGTACAGCGCTACACCTGAAGTGCTGCGTCTAGACTGTGCACAACCGGCCCAGTCTGAGTCGACGTACACGTCGAGGTCCAGAGGAGTCACCTTAGCAGGCAGAGTCACCTTAGGACACAGTTGAAGTACAGCCTCCTTAGTCCCTGAAAGGTAGCGAAGAAGCACCTTAAGCTTGTGAAGGTGATCTTGCGTCGGCTGAGAAAGTCCACGCGAAAGATCCTTCGTCGCGAACTGTATGTCCGGACGCACGCTGCTAAGCCACAGAAGTTGACCGATCAGTCGCCGATACAACCGATGCTCGTCGGAAGTCAGCAAGTCTTCTGATTCGATCTTCTTCCGAAGTGAATCCGTGCCAGGCGTCGTAGAGACGCGACACTTCATCATGTCAAGCTCAGACAGCATTTTGTCGATGTAAGTGCTGGGCATGCTGATCTCAATTGACCCAGCACGCCGTGTGATGCATCGACCAAGGAAGTTCACAGAAGAACCTACGTCCAGAACTCCTTCTTTTCGAAGCAAGACACGCTTTTGAAGTTCCTCGAACAAGTGCTTGCGCGGAAGCTCATCCCCAAACAGAAGCAGGTCATCCACGTAGCACAAGGCGTAAACACCATGCTTCGCGTTGAAGTACAGATTCGGATCTGTCTTCAGACGAACAAACCCGAGGTCAGCCATTACGCTGGCGAAGTGGTCTTGCCACAGCCTTGGCGCATTCTTGAGGCCATACAGGCTCGACGAAGTCGCCAGAGGACTCCGCCTTTCGGGTAATATTCGCCTGGAGGTATTACGAACACCTCATCTGTCATCAACGCATGAAGAAACGCAGTGCTTACATCTCCAGCGAGGATGTACCAGTTCTTGGTTATTGCAAGCAACAAGAGAAGTTTCAACGTAACCAACGACGGTGTGGACGCGAAGTTGTCATCAGCATCCTGGTCGAAACCTCTTGCAACCAGCCTGCACCTCACGGAGTCGCCTTTAAAGCGCTTAACCCATTTGGTGCTTATGGCTGAAGCAACTTTCTCAGGAGGAAGTTCATCGACCTTGACCTCTTCGTACACGCCGAAGTCACGCATACTGTTCATTTCTTTGTCCATACCTGCAACTTCAAGCTCGCGAGGGAACTCCGTTTCGTACCACAGAGAAGGCTGCAAGGCACGAAGTTCCTGAGTCCTCTCGCCCTCGTCTGCGTTCACAGACACCGGGACCTCAAGTCCGTCCTTAGTGGTGATCGCAGATATGCAAGCATGATCAAGAACATGTTCGCCGAAGTCATCTTCGACGATCGCAGAGACTCGTTGAAGTTTGGATCGGCTTTCGGGAAGTTCATCCGGCACATCACGCTTCAAGTCTCCAGGAGCGGGTCCAACTCTTTGAAGTTGGGTAGCCTGCTCATCTTCCACATCAGCTTCCGGTGGCTCACGTTTTCTCGAGCCAGTGGCGTGAGGCATGACGGGAAGTGAGTCGTCGGCGTTGCCGTCCTGAAGTGCTGCAGGAGCCGGCGCGGGAGGCAGAACGAAGTCATCTGTCTCCTCGGAACGGCCCCTCGGATCCCAAGGCTTTGCGACGAAGTCTTTGAGCATGTCGACGTCCACCTGTTGTTCCGATGGAAATCGTCGCACGCTGCGCGTCTTCGTCACGCCAGAAGTGTTTCCGATGATGTGCATATCAGAAGTGGTATCTCTACCGAGCCAGAGACCAGGCTGCCAGGCAAGTTCAGCCTTTGGCACCCTTCCGGAGACTCGGAAGAGAACAACCTCACCAAAACGACAGATTGCAGAAGTGTACCGTCTCGACCAACGACGTTCAAACGGAGTCAATCCGTCGCTTCGGATTGCGTAGCGATTGAGAAGCCATTGCGAGTGTCGAACCAACCATGTCACGATTGGCGAAGTCAACTCGATTTCACGGCCGTATCGCTCTTGCAAGTCCTTACGCAGCGTTCGGATCTGAGCGTACAGAAGTTGCTGCGTGTTGCCGACAGCTCCTTGCGCCTGCTTCCACTCTACGGCAGAAGTGCGCAGACTAAGCCCGCCGAGGTCCGAAGTGACCTCTTCAGCTACAGCCTTGAGCGACGGTTCCGGGTCACACTGAAGTACCCCGAACGTTCGACCAGCCTCAAGGACAAACCGGCGAAGCTCAGCACGGGCATACACGGAGTAACCCTTGTTTGGGACAACACATGACATTCCAAGTCCAGACAGT